GACCCTAAATAGAGGTGTAACATGTTCAGAAAGGTGAACTTATTCTTTAACTGGGCACCTGGCTTGGGTCCGGCTTTAATGGTTAAGGCCTGGGAGTGATACAAGTTGTCCCTCCCGGAAGCATAGGCTTCTGCTGCAGTGGCAGATGAGTGCTCTCACCTCCAGTGACCTCCTTGATGGGAAGAAAGACAATGTCCATCAAGGCATGCCTAGCAAAGGCTTTTTATATGTCCACAGCCCAACATTTTCATCCAAAGAGTTCTCTGCATGTTTAATGAATGGAGATTCACATGGACAATGAGAGGGGTGATATCTACTAAACCATCAACATATAGTGCTTAAGGCACACATTAGTCTAGGGCTATTGCCATGAGCTCTAAAAGCTCCACAAACATGGGATCAATATGAAGAGAGATGGGATTCCTTCTCATGGACCTAGTCCATTCCCCTAAAGTTTCGCAGACTACCATCATGGTCAGTGTAGGTTGTAATGAAGCACGGCTACAGAAAAATAGGAATTTTGACTTAACTTCAAATTCTTTATCTTGGTGTACAGTACAGGATACTGTATTCATAGACCATGGGTCATATTATGCAGGCTACCTTCACGTTAGCAAAAAATGTGCTAGGGCACATACAACCTCACACACTTTGTGTGGCTCCAGTTTTTTTTACCAAACAATAAGGAGTGACCAAGACACAGGGATATTTGTCCTATACTGTACTCCAAGATAAGGAATTTATAGTGTGGAAGTGTGAGGCCATGCCACTGTGTGATTAGGCAGATTTTGGAGGAAACAAGCACCTTAATGGGCCAGGTGTGTGCTTCATTCATAGTGGAGCTGGGATCAGAGTTCAGGACCCCACCCTTCTGAGAGGGTCATTGTGTGGAGGGAGCTGCGTGAGGTGCTGGCATGCACTGTACTGTCCAGGTCAGGACAGACCAAGGCCCAAGAGAGTGTCCATGAGGGACAGAGCAGCTGGGAAGTTGCAAGCGAAGAATCAGAGAGAGACAGTCAGGAGGACCAAAAGAAGTACTAATCAGAGCAGTAAAGCTGCAAGGGAGCCACAAGGCTAAATGCTGTTTTCTGTACCAGATGGTGAGAACCCCTGCGTGGGAAACCTTTTTTGTGAACTTTCATTTGTTTTAAATAAAAGTGCGTAGAAAAATCCCTCGAAAATACTTCTGGCGTGGAGTAAACTCACGGGTTTGGTGCTACCAAATTAGCTAAATTACCCCAAATCATGACAATAGGTAAGTCAAAATAACTTGTAATCAGACTATGGGATGTCCCCAAGCAATAAATTGAGGGGTCGAGGAAGGTTCTTCATTGAAGGGAAGGCATAAACCAGCTTGAACTGAATCCAGGGAATCACCCCACATCTACTGCAAAGACTAGATGATTGGCTGCTATTGTGCTCTTTGCTGGGTATCACATGCGTCCCTGTGTCTTTAAGGAGGGGTGGGCTCCCTCCGGGCATACCTGCCCTTAATCTATCCATTACTATATTAGCAAATGTGTGTAAACAAAACCCTTTGCTTTTAACATAAACTACAGGGCCAATTCAGTTGATTTGCAGACTGGCTGGTAAGTGTGCTGGGAAATCCTTTGTATGTTTGTGATGGTGATTGTATTATGTCAGAGGGAAAGGCTGAAAAAAAATTGAATAAAAGCATCAACTCAAAACAATAGGGGCTTGTTGATTATGAAGAGAGAAGCATTGCTTATTAACACTCCTATAGCATTTATGATGTGTTTATTAAGTGCTTTCATTGTGTTTATGAAGCGTTGAAAACACTTCAAGAATGCTAGATAAGTGTCCATGGAAGTGTTGTTTTTCTAGTGTGAAGTGCTTAAAGGGGAGGCGATGTAGAAAATATGATCTACTTTAAAGTGTGGTTAGGTTGTGGTGTGACAGCAGACATTTTTTTTAATTCTCTACAAGCTGGATTTGTATACTTAGATCTCTGACACTTGGCTTGGTCCAGCTCAGCTTTGCTGACACCAAAGCTTTGTCACTAACAATAATGCTCAATGCCTTTGCTCCTTCCTGGCACTGCCAGTATTGCTCACTAGCTTGATGCTTTTGCCTGCACACAGAAGCAAATGGTGTTACCACACAACTTCTTTGTACAACCAGAAAGTGGGTGGAGCTGCTCTGTCCTAGTTCTCTATTATTTCCCAGTGCATTGTGGGATACAGGAGCCTCCACTGCCAATCCCCCAGTGCCTCAATTATCACTTTATAAATGCTTTACTAATACATCATAAATGCTCTAGGTGCTGTTAAGGTGTGGTTATAGAGCATTACCATTGAAGTCAATGGAGGTGACTGACAAGCATTGATGCTGCATGAAAGCAACATGCTGCTTAATTTTTGACATGACAACACAACAAAACACAATACTACCTCTCTTGTGTGAAGAGTACTGTGTGGTGTCAATGAAATATTCATTGCCGGCATTGAAGGGAAGTTATGAGGCATTCAAAATGCAGAATAAATGCTGCATAAATACATGGTAATTAACGTGTGAATGAGCCCCAAGTCTGATGGAATCAACTCTACTTGTTTTAAGACAACAGAGTCCTCAAAGATGGGTTCCTAGTCTCTGTTCATTTGTCTTGGCAAATAGACATGTCCACAATTGGTGGCTAAAGGGCTGGATCTGCAATAAGGCCTTTAAGAGGGCTTCAAAATGCATATCAACACAATCCTTAAAAGAGGGAACATCCTTAATAGTAACTGTAAGGTGTTTAATAAGAACTGAAATGGCAGAATCTATATCTTCTTCAAATCCTTTTTCATAGGATGAATCTCAGCAAAAAGGAGGAGCAAAAACTCTCTCAAGGTTGAGTCAATCCTTGTAGTGCACAATCTGTGCATGTTTGGGAAAGTATTTTTTGACCCAATGGGTCTCAACTGCCCACAGGATCTTCTTTTGTGGAGTCAGGTGCTGTTAGGCAAAGATTAGTGCGCACCGAGTCAATTAATGTGTCCTCAGTAGAGAGTATTTGGTGTGAAGCTGTAGCTTGTACCTTATGAAATGTAGGGTAAGGAAAATCCTGTGAAGTCCCGTCCAGTCCTGTGCAGATAAAATTTCTCTTCTGCACCCTGCATTTCTTCATCCTCCTTACTCCAGATTGGAAGGGAAAAAATATCAAACTTAAAATGCTTGCACTGAGAAACGTTAGAAACCAAATGGCAGGGAGTACTTTAATATGGTGAATAACCCCCAAATCCTCTTGCTGTGAAACTGCATGCGGCTTGTGATATTAAAAGCCAGGAACTGGTGTCAGAAACAGGAAAACCCTGACTTATCAGCAATGCTGAGTCTGCTAGAAGTCCAGGCTTTGCCTATCATGGTGGGCATACAGTCAAAAGGGGTCTTCAGGGTCTGGGAATCATAAAAATGGACTACAGCTCTGGATCTGTATAGCACCCTGCGGCTGACTACATGTTGAATTTCATGCCAAGGTGAGCACCTGACACAGGATTCAGTGCCTGAAACAAACATTACAGGCTGGCCTCACACAATGAGGTCTTGGTATAGTCTCCAAGGTACACATTGAGGGTCACTAATTTGGAAATTGCAAGAGAGTGCAGAGCAATAAGCAATTGTATCTTGACAGGAATTAAAAAAATGAAGTTTAAAAAAAAATATTCTTCAGAGGAGAACAGGTCCATCACCTAAGGACCTAAGCAAAAAGTGGAGTCTCACAAAACTAGAGTGGATGGGTTTATAAGATTCTGCACTAGGGGTGGCTCTAGAAAGTTTCCAATCATTCGAAGGTAGCCCGAATATAACCCATCCTCTATGAATACAATTTCTGTATCATACACTGTATAATTAGGACACAAAGTTTTCCAAATACTTATTTATGTGATCCTTAAAAACAGGCGCATTCATTAAAGGGATCATTAGCACATCATTAAGAAGAGATATTGTGGGATCCACAGCAGTAATGACCCATATTAAAAGACTCCTCAAATGGGTAAAAAACTGCCAAAAGTTTAGAAGGAGTGAAAAGCTTATCAGGAGTGTTCCAGACTTCATAATGGATGTCTGGGATTAGTGGGTGCACCATGAAAGTCTTGGCAGGTTTAGGGCTTCTAAGAAATCCTAGACAGGTAGCAGCACTGATAGCAGCTGTTGGCTGCTTTTCCATTTTTAAAGTGGTGGGCACAGTATCAGTAAGAGTTGAATCAATATAAGCCTGGGAAAAATGGCAGCTGCCTGAGACCCCTCAGTGGCATTATTATCCATTTCATCCAAGAATGTTTGGAACCTGCAGTCAGTCAGCAGTAAGGGTTGCATTTTGTCTTATGAAATCCTGCATAACTGTGCTGAAATCCTCCCAGGAGAGAAGTGCAATCTTCCAGTCCAGTGGAATCTGGGTAGGGCTCCAAAACTATTGCTGAGGGTACGCTGGTCGAAATAACTGTGTATAGAGGCCAGCTCAAGCAGCATGTAGGGAAATGTTGATGGAAGAAAAAAATTACTTTGAAGTAAAGAAAAAAAAAATGCTTAGTAAAACTAGGCAAACTTATCTTAGTAGAGAAAAGACACTAACAAAATACAGGAGCATGCTTGGAGTGGGAGGGGTTAAATTGTGCTAGTCATTTTTTTTGTTTGCAGGTGTCCTGTAGGTAGCAGTATAACCCAAATGTCTCTGAATCCTGTCTCCCTCAATGAACAAGAAACAAATATTTCAAAAGTAAGTCTGCAGTTATAATTTATGATTACATATTCTTGCTCAAGTCCATTTGTGACTGGTTCTCTTTAATGCTGTTGTGGTATGCATTAAGTTTAATTCACAGACATGGTCTTGACTCTCACTCATCTGGCTCAAACGCAACATTTGTTTTTCCTACTGTAGGAGATTTTTTAAAACTGGTCTTCTTTTTTGGTTTAACACTGTGGTCCAGTCTTGGAAGATCCCGTTCAGAACCCACAGAAGTGGAAGTTCCAATTACAAAGGCCCCCAGCTGTGAACTTACATCAGGTGATTTTGTCATGTCCGGAGCTCTTTGCCTTGTTCTAATAAAGTAAGTATGAAAAAAAAATACATTTCAGAAGACAAGATATAACAAGAATATAACAGGAACAAAATGAATTGCAAAATTGAAAACATTCATATTTAGTTTTAAAGCCCAACTTCAGCAAAATCATTTTAACATTATATTTAGTTTTGGATTTAGCAGGGAAGGGATTATATCTTGTGCAGGTTTTTATTGCTGATTGTGTCCATATTAGGGAGATTTTCTTTCAGTTCCCGCCAGGGCAGGAATTGATTGAAGATCTATACAATGGGTTGAAAACAAAAACAGATTTTAGAGAGGAAAGTGAGAACCTCTGACAATAATTTTTATTGTTGTCTGTGCTTTCCTGTCCTGTTGACATCTCCCCCTCCCTCCCCTTTTTGTATGATGGGAGCTAAGGGAAATTTTGGGAAGAGAACATAAAAGTTTGCCGGTTAATTTATTCTCTTTCCCACTTTATCCAAAAATGGAAAATCGTAATTTCTGTACGAGGAATGATCAGCTGATAATCTGATCGTTAGTATAGCGCTTTCAACAGTCAGGTCTGAATTTTTGGATGACGAAAACCGAGGGTGCAAGCTATAAAATTGTATCATACGTGAACACAACGTCCAATTTTCTTTAAGGTGTACAGTTATTGTACGGAAATAATCAAATAGAAAAAAAAACGTGCATGATCAGAAGCATAGAACAACCCAACACTTCCTCTTCTACTATGCTAGTATGTAGCTACATTTGCTTTGCTGGCCGAGAATTTTTCTTACAAGTCAATACCATTCCGACTACATCATGATGCGCACATTCGTGGAAAATCGGACAATTGCTAGTCCGATTTTCTTTTTAGTGTGTATGGCTTAAGGTTTTATGGAAACCTGTTAGAACTAAAACAGATAGGCTGGAATGGCAGACCTCATCTGGGCTGCTTGTTGCCTGGCTGTCATGCTGATACTTTGGCCTTAATAGTTTTCAAGTCAATGAATTAAAGCTAATATAGAGCACACAAAGCTCATTATCACATTAACATGATAATGAGCCTCCATGAATTTACATATAAATGGCTCATATATAAAGTGAACAAAAAATTTAATCCATTGTATCTATCCATTATTAAGCTGCCCACATTTGGATAGAAATAAAGAAAATAATAATAGAAGGAAAATTTGTACGAGAATCCCCAGAATTATCAAATATTGTTTAAAAGATTTTGTTTGCTTTTACCATTTGATCTTGGAATGAATGGACTTTACCAAATGCAAACCACATACACTATTAGAAATACATTTGTTTCAAGAAACATTTTCCATTCTACTTATATTTTCTCATCATTGCAGCCAAAAATGAATGGCGATTTAACCCACTAATGATTAGAAAAATGAACAAACTTTCTTAGAACATTCTTTTCCTAACAATTTTTGTTCGACATACTACCCATCTATGGCCTTAGAGATGATGGTTGCATTCATTTTTTCTTTTTTTTTCCAAGTTAAGAACATTTTCTGCAAGTACAGACAATTTCATGTTTATCCTACCAAAAATTCAGTATGTTTGTAATTTCCTGTTTATAAATCTCTAAACAAAAATGTAATCAGCTTTCCCAGCTGTCATATACTGTATGAACTTCAAAACCCCTCAGCCCCATGTAACAGAAAGAAGGCAAGGTAGTGATGTTTGCAGTCCAAATCCAGGAGTCCAGGAGAATGGTCTGGGGTGACATCGCTGCACCAACATAAGAACAGTGCAGTGAGTGAATACTGTTACTGGCAGGATCACCAGGTGAAAATAAAGGTAACCTGCATGAAAGAATGGTTATGTTAAAATGCCAGTTTAAATGCAAATCGTGCTTACTGTCTATATTTATTAAAAATAATGAACAATATTTATTTATAGGTGAAAAAATACACATTTCCAGACTGTTGTTCCTTATTTACAATCCTCAAAATCTTGCAGTTTTCATGCAATTGGCCTGTAAAAAACATTACTTAACTCTAACATAGCACAATGTATAGAAACTGCTTTTATTACTTCATAAAACATCCTCATTTAGAAGTGAGTTCTATGAGATTCAAGAAAAGCCTGTTCTTCTAGGGTGCATTAATAACTTCCTCTAGACTTTCATCTGACTGACTGACCGAAGGAAGTAGTCCTTATTTCTTATACATTGTAACTGCTTATAACCTGATTTTAAAACAGCCTTTGGGCGCATGACCTGTCCAATAATGGAAAACAAACCAAAAGGAAACATGTCCACTACATAGCAATAAGTAGAAGTTCCAGCACAGAAATAACAAGTCCTTTTGTTGCTGCAGAGATTAATGAGTACTTCAAGTATGTGACAGGTTTGTATTCCTTTTTTAAAATCCCTATTGATGGTCTAGCTAACTCCTGTATGGGAGTATATAAATATGATTTCTACTAATACCATAAAAGCGCCTGAAAAAAGTCGATGTCGTGTGGTGTACCTGGTAGACACAGAACACTGGCAGCCAGAAAAAATTAGGTAAATAATTTAACCTCATGGCGCTGGTGGTATTCAAATATGTGGCCTGTCAGCAGCAGGGCCTTGGGGCTGAATACTTGCATACCAGATGGAAACAAACATATGCTGAGAGCGCACATGCTGCATGCTCTCTGCACAGTTACCGGCACCTATCAGAAAGCTCCCAAACGCTACTTTCTCTGATCATATGACCACTGTGACAGCCAATCACGGTGGACACATGATCATAAACCTCGCTCCGCCTCCTGGCATCACAAACTCCTTAAAATCCCTTTTACACTAATGCGGTGCGTTACATCGCATTTGATTCACACAGGAACCGCACCGCATTCCTGTGCAAATCACATGCAATTTGTATGCAGTGTGATTGGAGCCATACATTTTGTATGGCTAAAATTGCACCACACCCGCACTAAAAAGGTGCAGGACCCTTATTGGGTCCGTACTATAATCAGATTGCATGGGTATTCACACCTATGCGATCCAATTCTGCACATCGCACCATGTTTTGCGGACCGATTTCGGGGTGTTTTTAACTTAACATATGGGGTGAAATTCTGATGCGGTGCAGAATTTGCACAGAAAACGCTGCAAATTCTGCACTGCATCAGTGTGAACCCAGTGTATAGGGTCAGGAGGTGCGATGCCAAGGTGTTAATCTATTAATTTAACTTTTACAAACTTAGTGTACAACCAGACTACCTGTGCTAACATTTTTCTACTATAGACTTCCCCACTCTGGTTGATAAGAAAGAAAATATATATACAGTACTGTGCAAATGTTTTAGGCAGGTGTGAAGAAATGCTGTAAAGTAAGAATGCTTTCAAAAATACATATTTTGAATGTTTATTTTCATCAATTTACAAAATGCAAGGTGAACAGAAGAAAAATCTAAATCAAATCAATATTTGGTGTGACTACCCTTTAGCTTCAAACCAGCATCAATTCTTACACTTTTCATATGTTTTTCATATTCAATTTCATATGCAGGTTGAAACACAGTTATTAAGTGAAACAGAAACAGCTGTACAGGAGGCTTTACTAAACCCAAGACCCTGCATTCACTATATTAGGTCTCCCACAGCACACATAACATGGAAATTAAATTATTTTAGTAAATATAAACTGCTAAATACTTTTTTTCATCAGCAGTTAGAGCAGTCTTGTGACTTATATTAGTGTCCAGCTGAGAACTGGTTAAAGCGTGTAGGAGTAATTTTCATTCTGTTCTGACTGTCCTGTGAGGCTGCATGAACCCTGAACCTCTCTGTACAGTGCTAATTGGCCTTGTGCTGATCACATGCACCCTCCCAAAGAAAAAAAAATACCTTTCTAGCAATACACACTAAACTGAGCATGTGCAGAGTGACTCCTAGAGCTCTGTATTATTAGCAGATGGATTAGGGACTGTGGAAGAAGGGGAGATTCAGAAAAGATGATGAAACAGCCTTTTTACATAATGCAGAGGATTAATCCCTTAGGTTCCACAGTGAATACAATAAGCATGCTTTACTACATATAAAGACTGATTTTACTGTTGTGGGTTTATTAACACTTTAAACAGAGTTAGGAACAGCCAAACTCTGCTACTAAGGTGCGGTTAAAGAAGACAGTTTCATGTCAAAGTTCATCATGGCAGAGACTGAGCACAGGAACAAGACACAAGGTAGTTACACTACATCAGCAAGATATTAGGCTAGGTTCAAATCTGTGCGGGTGGTGCTGTTGCGGATTCGCACAGTACAGACAGAAGTGGTCTTCATGGAAGAGTTATGACCCTAAAGCCATAAGCCTCCATAATGGAAACAAGGCTAAGTGACTCAACTATGCACGAAAACATAGGAACCATGGTGCAGAAAAACAGCAGCAGGTGTTCTGGACTGATGAGTCAAAATTTGTCACAATAATGAGTGTCCGCAAGCAACAGTAAAGTATGGTGGAGGGTCTTTGAAAGTTTGGGGCTGCATTTCCGCAAACGGAGTTGGAAATTTGGTCAGGATCAACGGTGCCCTCAATGTTGAGAAATACAAGCAGATACTTATCCATCATGCCTTACTATTAGGGAGGGGTTTGACTGGTCTCAAATTTATTTTGTCTGGGATTACATGAACAGACAGAAGGATTCGAGGAAGCTTACACCCACAGAAGATCCATGGTTAGTTCTCCAAGATATTTGGAACAACCTACCTGCCGAATTCCTTCAGAAACTGTGTGCAATTGTACTCAGAAGAATGGATGCTGTTTTGAAGACAAAGGGTGGACACACCCAATATTGGTTTGATTTGGACTTCTCTGCTTTTCATTTACTTTTTTTTTTTTACTCATTTTGTAATTGATAAAAATAAACTATTAACATTTGTATTTCTGAAAGCTTGCTTAATTTACAGCATTGTTTCACACCTGCCTAAATTTTTGCACAATACTGTGTATTTGTTGGATAACAAGAGAGTTAATTAAGGGATACAGCTGGATGGTAAAAACATACGACTATACTATAACC